CCCCTCCAGGTGAACTCCAGCAGTTTGTTGAAGTGACACCGTTTCGGCTGGGCCCCACCTACTCTAGCGGGTCTTTTACGACTTCCGAGACCCACAACATCCCTGACAGTACAACTGGTGCAGAGTAGTGTCAAACGCACCTTCAGCCTTTGTCATGGCTTCCTCACCGTCCTGGCCCCACCCAACCAAGGGGAAAAATTTTTTCCCCTAGTATCCCACACACGGTTTAATGTCTCCGTAGTGTGATGAGTCGGAGGGCCCTTTCAAATGAGATTCCATGAGCTTTCCTCCCAGTCCGGCTACAGCATGGAGTCTAACTCCTCCTTGTTCGCCTAGGTAGGACCAGCACCTTGCTGCCTAGTCGAAAAATGAGAGGCGTTCCTAGGACCTCCCCCGGACCCTCATGCGAATAGGCCAGATGACACAAAAACATCTGAACCTCTTCCGCATACTGGCCCAAGGGTCCCTCAGTGACACCCTCCACGCGCCCTCATACCCACTCCCCCCAGAGATGAGTCCCGGTAGGTTTAGAGGACATGAGGGTTATCGCTTTCGACACAGCCAAGAGCCGTCATTCAGCCCTGGGTAAGTCCACTCCCAACCCGGAGGCGGTTCCGACGCCCAAACAGTGGTTAGGACAAAAACTTTATGTATCCTAACCTAAGCTCCGCATCAGCAACCCACCGCCTCTCCCCCAGACTCAACCACCTATTCCTAAGCGTGGTGACGAAAAACGTCTCACATACACCAAAACTACCCGAAGCTTAGTCAGACGCTGGAAGTCGTGAGTAGACCTAGCCAAGCGTTGGCTCACACTCTCGCCGACCTACTCCTAAGTCGTAGAGGTCTTAGCACTCCGGCTACCAAGCAGTCCGTCCCCTATTCCGCTACCTGACGGGTGAGGTTCATCCTACTCAGCGACACTAGCGCGAGCTCTCTACTCACCATAGTACATAGAGCCACCTAAGCAACAAGAGCTCACTCTTGCTTATCGCACTTACCCCAGCTCTTACGCCTCGTCGCCCCCCACCCCATGCGCTCAGCCCACACATCGCAGCGGACACACTACTTTCTCCTCACCGTCTTCGTCTTCCAGACGCACCACCGCCGCGTCACACCACCACCCCACCGCCACAGGGCGCGACGTCGGACTACCGCTCCTTCCTACCCAGTACTCCGCGCTCCCCCCCCCAACACCACCCCCCCATCCTTGCTAGCCGCCACTGTTCCCGGCTCTCACAACACGACAGCGTCCCACCGACCCACAGACCGGGAAAATCCTCCATTCATCTTCAGCCAGTAGGCCCTCCCTGATCCTCAACTTTCGGCACGCACGCGACCGCCGCCCAGCTTTTCCCCGGTCAACTCCACCCAACACCGTGGATACAATCCTACAGGTGGACCCGCGGCAGGGATCCCAAAGGTCCGGTGCAGGTCGACCCTTCTCTGGTCTCCCCAATCTGATCCTGGTCACACCTCCCTAATATAGAGAGCGACCGGGACCCTCGCGGAACCCAGGGGGTCAGTCTCGACCACTACACCGGTCCCTTTTCTTTCAAACCCCGAGAGACGACCTTGACGATGGAGGCGCTGGGCTGGTGCCTATTGGAACTGTCACGTACA